CATGTCAAGATAACAGACTGGTACATGTACATGAATACCTCCATAACTTGAATGGCCACAACTTACTAGCGCCTCTGTTCTGCTCAACCAATACGAATGAAACCACCACCAAAACTGTCCTTAACAAGTGTTTATAAACAGATTCCAAACCTTCTTCGTGAGTCAGTACTCTTCAACAAACTTATACATGTATTCTTGTTAGCCCTTTCATACTGGGATGCAGCGTGCAGTACATCACATTACACATCGGACATGACTTGATTGCTACCTACGAGCCAATTTTAGCCTGCACACTGAACGGTCAATCCCTGGCTCTTTGGATTGGCAGTGTGATGGCACTGGAAACCCAGCTTTGGATTTAGCCTCATTGCTATCGGTGGCTCAGCTGATGTTCGTTGGTCTTGGGGGCAGCAGATAAACCCAGTGCAAACTGCCCCAAAAATTTTAAAGATTGCTGCGCACAGTTTAACTTGTTTTTGCTTATATCCATTTATAATAAAAAAAATCTTTAGGAAAGACCAGTATAACAGTTGTCACTGCATGTACACCTGTATGCAAACTGCTAGTATAGCAGACAACACGAAGGTCTATATGTGACCTGCTATACAAAACTGAGTCACGTTTCGCCAGAGCCACTTTTGAGTTAGGCCTTTGAGAAAATCTTGCACAGTGTTGAAGCAATACCGGTAGGAATCCTCAACACTGTATAATCTACACAATGTCCATTTTGATCAAACCAAACTGAGTGACATATCAAAACAAAGAGCTTAAATTCCTCAACCTCATACAAAGTGAAATTCCAAAAGTGTCTCCAGTGACTTGAGACACATTTTTGCAGAGTGGGCCGCATACATGCTTGATAATATGGACTACCCGTACACATACATGTACAATACATGACTTCAGTTTGACACAGAGACATACAGGCTTATTTGGATCATAGACAACTCCTTTGTTCATGTGGCGCAGTTGCGCCCTCTTGTGTGTCAGCTACAAGAAGTGACTATTGCTGTATTAACACCCATCAGTGATCACATGACCTTGTTTGGCAGGGAAATGCGTTGCCAGTAAATTCCACTTCCATTCCCGCCAACTGCAGCCACGTGAGGGGAGTTTCCCTCAACAATTCAGTATTAAGTTTGGTCTGAGAACCGTACGTAAAATTGATCAAAGGATTTTGGAGTCTTTTCTGTCAACCAAGTCACTGATTTTTAGAGAGCATCGGTACATCTATGGTATGATTATCTAAGTTAAGAATGAAAGTTGGAAAAAAAGACTTTTAAAACAACAGAAAGCTTAAAAGAGTTTAACAGAAATGAGAGTGAATGGCTTGATATGCATGTACATGCCTTGAATTATATGTATGATTTACACATATTTGACCGGGTTTAGTTTCCTCTTTGAAAATTTTGAAACTTTTTCGAAAATCTTCTTAACTTTAGTCAGAAATGTGGCAAGTATTTAGGCTTCAGTTAGGACTAACTTGTGTGATGCTGATATCATGTTAGCATGTTTTTAATTGAAAGAGCACGAGTAATCAAGACCTTCACAATATACAAGATGCTTATACAAGTAAGTAAAAGAAAACCCACAATTTTTTTTTTTTTTTTTGACAACTCTTGTAAATACCGCAGTATACCAATCATGGTTGGAAGCATGTTAGATGTGGCCACCATCTATAAATAATCTGTTGTTTATTGTTACTTACCCTTTGAAGCATGAGAGAGATGCCTTTTGAGTTCATTTCTCCGGAAACATGCTCAGCAGTTGCCCTACATGTAGTTGTAAATTGCATAGAAATAGTTGACCTTCGCCATTGAGGCGCATGTATTCATTGTGTGGCGCGACATAAATCAAGTAACCTACTTTGTGCACATTGGCCCATGTACGCTTCAGTCAGTTGTGATTGATATACCGGTATGCGCAATTTAGTTATATACATGTAGCTCCTTTCTAAGTTTCCTTACAGTACATGTATAGTTTGCGATTGTTTGGCACAGCGCCCTCTTGTGTACAGGTAGAGTAATGTAAGCTAGTGCCTGGGCATGCGCAGTAAACGTGTTTGTACATGGAGGTCAAAACAGACACAGTTCTCTTGCAGTTAAGACCGATTTTTGTCACTGCATAAGGACAAGATGGATGCTGACCCAATTTATAGTGACTCGGACAGCAGCAGCAGTAGCTGTGATGAGGATATTGGTGTATATGTAAATGTATGTAGTCAAATTATATTGTTGACACTGGTCTTTCAGTGGCAGCAGTTTGTATTTTGACAAATGCATGTACACGGACACGTAGGTGTATCAGGCCCAATTGACATAGTCAGTGGCATTATAGCCTGTGTTTTTGCAATACATGGGGTGGGCTTTTGGTCTGATAGGAAAGAAGAGCACCGTGATGGCAGTGGGACCAGTGATGGCAGTGGGACCAGTGATGTTGATGTGCACAATTTAACTGCCATACATGTACACATGTTCGTATAGTTTTACTGTAAATGTCAAGACTTGCAGCTGCATGGTTTAGTTAAGCAATACGTTTACTCTCTCAATGTGCCCGTTATGCCTCCTGCTCTGCAGTAAGGAAACTACGGTAGACGAGGATCACTGTCTAGTTTCTTCAGTATTCTGTTGAGATTTTTTATGGACCTATTATGGGTCGTACAACCTTAATACTGATGTTGGTTAATCAGAGTCGCATGTGTGGGGTCTATCTATCAGAGTTCTTGATAATTGATTTATCAGAAATCCAGTATTACGTAGTTTTGATATACATATACATGTATCAATCTTTTCTCATGTACACAAATACTGTACATTAAACTCTTGTTAACTCAAAACCAGACATCTCGCAACTCCATTTTCCCTGAAGTCACACTTTGTTAATGTCAAGATAACAGACTCGTACATGTACATGAATATCTCCATAACTTGGAAGGCCTGCAACTTATTGGCATCTCTGTTCTGTTCAACCAATACGAATGAAACTGCCACCAAAACTGTCACCAACAAGTGTAAACAGATTCCAAACCTTCTTCATGAGTCAGAACTCTTCAACAAACTTATACATGTATTCTTGTTAGCCCTTTCATACTGGGATACAGCGTGCAGTACATCACATTACACATCGGACATGACTTGATTGCTACCTACGAGCCAATTTTAGCCTGCACACTGAGTGGTCAATCCCTGGCTCTTTGCATTGGCAATGTGATGGCACTGGAAACCCAGCTTTGGATTTAGCCTCATTGCTATCGGTGGCTCAGCTGATGTTCGTTGGTCTTGGGGGCAGCAGAAAATCCTGTGCAAACCGCAAAACATTTTTAAAAAATTACTGCGCACAGTTTAACTTTTTGGGGGGCTTATATCCATTTATAATACAAACATCTGGAAAGACTCCAGATCACTACGATACAAGCGGGATCTTCTAATCGTTGCTTCTGTATATTTTTTATTGGGTGTCCAGGAACAATGACAACATTCTGGAAACACAGAAACAAAAAGTGGGCTTAATTAGAAATCTAACTTGAATCGATAAGTTTCAAACTATTCACTTTCCCTAGTGACAAAGATTAACATAAATTTACATTCTACTGAAATATATCAACTTCATCTGATACAACTGAACTAGTCGCTAAACCAGATATCGCTGTAATTAGAATGAGCTAAAACTAGAATTAGTGGGCTGATCATGAATAAAACAAACAGAAGGCAGAGTGAAAATCATACCATTGACATGTCAGAAAATGAAGTCTAATCCGTCTAATGTACCAAATGTACAAACCAGCAATATATTGAACGGATAGCCAGACAGAGCTCGGTTATCTTGTAAATTGCAAGCAAATCTACATTTATTTCTACATTGGCAATCGCTAATGCAATCTTATCGTATCGTACAATTTATTCTGTGAAATTCCAATCTTAAATGAAATCATTCATTTAAATTGTTCTATTTACCTGAAGGTTTTCTTTTCCCAGACTTGTACCGTTACACAGGATAAGACGGAATAAATCAAAAACACAAACAAAGAATGTCATTGTTTATTAAGTTGCGCATGGACGCAATGCCTATGCGCGCCGTCACGCAGCAGTCCAACTGTTACTCAATCCAACCACAATGCCTGATTCTTTTTTCTCTCAGTTTTCGTATTCTGTGTTTGCATGGGATTTAATCAAGGTGTTTAAAAGATAGGCAGGTTCTGCTCAGGGATCATCAAAATGAAGTATTTTTTGCAAAGAGCAAGTTCAGTATTCCAAGAGTGCATGTGTAAAATGAACAGCAGCACACTTACGTAATACCAGTGTCTGTCTTATATATCAGCGCAGGTGTTTGCATTGTGAAATACTGAACTTGTTCATGAAAAGCATCTCTACAATGTCAGCCATTTACATGTACATGTACATTGAGTGTACACATGCAAATGATTCAACTAAGTGGGCATGTCTTTTTACATTCCACATTATTTCAAAAGATTTTGTGCCCGGTGTGTTTGAGTTTCTTGTTTCAGGAAGTTTAAACTTCAGGACATCCTCTTGCCTCTTCCAGAAGAAGCCATTATTGGTGGCTTTGAAATCAGCAAATGGAAAAAACACATGTATATCAAAATTTCCATATCACTGATTAATCCATTCACCACTTGCAGGCCTTTGGTTTAGATGCTCAGGAAAAGCAACAAAGAAAGATTTTTTGTTGGGTACAGTCTCATTAGAAATGAAATTCCAAAAGGGTTTCTTTGGCGGGGTATCAGTAAGCAGTCTTTTCTTCATCTTTCCACGTGCTCAACTTATTCTTGAAATTCAACACTACACAAACACTGTACATGTACATGACATCGTTACACCTCGGGTCTATTCATATACAGGGCATGAGCAGCACACTGACAAATCTTTTAACAAAAGTTTGATGTCTAGGTGGATGCTTTTCTAAGAGATAATAGGTTCAAAACAAATGCAGACATCAGTTTTTCTAATTGATGCTCCTTTTTTCTGTCTTGATATCCTCAGCTTGTTGCAGGTGGCTTGGAGGATCACATGAGTAAGAGCTTAGTGGACCATGGCCGGAGGATTGTTGATACCATCAGTAGTCTGGTGTCTGTCTCAAAGGGCAAAGATAGTGGGGCACAGCGGTTAGATAACGAGACAGAAGGTTTAAGCCAAGTCAAAAAATATTCCGCCTTGTCTGAGGCTGAACTTGAAGATCTGGCTGACTTGCTGAAGGAACATATGGTTGTCAAAGCTGATGATGCAACTGAAAGCAAAATGAGAAAAGCTAATGCTGGCTGTGCAGATGCAAAAGCCCCGCAGAATGAGATCACGAGAATCAATAAGGACGTGAAGAAAGTGAAGGCAGACCTGGATAGGGCAATAGCCAAGCTGGAGAGGGAAGTGGGGAAGAAGATAGAGGACATCAGCGCCATGATTGCTGTGCTGGACCATCGTACGGAGACCTTCCAGCAGGTCCTGGCTGTGCTCAGCAATGAGCTGGAGGCAGTGCATGCCAAGACCATGGCCTTGGAGAAGCAAAACGCCTACCTGAAGGAGTTCACCGAGAAGCAGGAGAAGCGGCTGCACTCCCAGGACCAGATGCTGACACTGAAGAACATCGCCTTGGCTGAGCAGGAGCTGCGCATCCAGGCCCTGGAAGCCGTGTCTTATGACGGTGTCCTCCTGTGGCGTATCAGCGAGTACAAGCGGCGTAGGCAGGATGCCGTGTCTGGTAAGACCACCTCCTTCTACTCCCCTGTCTTCTACACCAGCCGGCATGGCTACAAGATGTCAGCCAGGATCTACCTGAACGGTGACGGCATGGGCAAGCACAGCCACCTGTCGCTGTTCTTCGTCGTCATGCGGGGACGCCACGACGCCCTCCTGCCCTGGCCCTTCCAGCAGAAGGTGACCTTCATGCTGCTGGATCAGAACAACCGAGATCACATCGTGGATGCCTTCCGTCCTGACCCGAGCAGCTCTTCCTTCAGGAAGCCAAACAGTGACATGAACATCGCCTCCGGCTGCCCACTCTTTGTCACCCAGGAGCTTCTGAATGCCAGTGACAACTACGTCAAAGATGACACCATGTTCATCAAGGTGATTGTCGATACAACTGGTCTGGAAAAGCTGTAGTGAACCTAAGAACCTTGACCGGGAATCTGCTGCAATGTTACTGCACGTCACACGTACGTACATGCATGTAGTTCGCCGTCGGCTATTTACCGTGAGCATTTCACACAACTCTTTCAAACAAGCACTTTGGACTTCTGCGTAAGAGAGGACTCAAGATGTCATCACGGTGGTTGTCAACACAACTGGCCTGGAAAATTATGAGGAACTGGGAACCTTGCACGGGAACCTGCCAGCGTTTTTACTGTAAGTCACGTGTAAGCGACAGTCCATGCATGAAGATTTCAATGAAGTGTCGCTCCTTCAAACTTTGAGATAATGGAAGGAGGTTATGGACCTCCTGTTCATTAAGGTGATGCTCAACACAGCTGGTCTGGAAAAACTCGAAAGGAACATGGAATTCTGCCCAGTAATCTACTTCTAACTGCTACAGAACATTACACTCAAGTATACATGTAACTCGTGAACTTATTGACAGTTGGATGATGCTCACAAGTCATTTGTATGGAAGCATCTTTGAGGTACTGGTATGTATTGACCAAAGATCGTATGGCGAACTTCACCGTGAATACACGTAAAACGTTATAATCGCATGGGCGCCATTTGAGCAAGCGATACGCCTGCGCAATGCACATTACTGCGTAGGCGCAGGCCCCGCGACAGCCACGTGCACCTGGTGAGCCTGCGCCTAAGCATTACCGTAAACTGCGCAGGCGTATTGCTTGCTCAAACGGTGGCCATGGTAATTACATCTTTTGGGCGGAGTTATCCATCTTGTGCCTTTGTTGCTAACTTGCTATACAATCTTTGGTATGGACTAATCAATAAAGCAGAATACAAATCCATCATGGCTGTGTAGGGGGCTCTCAGCGGCCTGAGTGAACTCATGTACATATTGTCGTAGGCAAAGACAAATAACAAAGCACCATAAATCCTTAAAACTTTACAAATGGCAAAAAAAGTATGAGAAAAATGCAGAGCCAGCACTGAATGGGAACGATAATGACAATCCAACATGATAAAAACAAGCAGTGACTGCAGTGATGAAGAATGCTGAGGCAGTTTATGTACATGTACAGCGATGAGCCTTACTGCCAAGTTTACAAAAAGCAAATACTCACCTTACTGGTGGTCGGTCACCGGGGAAACTTGGTGGCCACAAGGTATGTATTCTGCGCTCATTTGATCAGACCCTGTTGTAGTGGTAGCGTGATCTTTTGCAGCTGGTCAAATTGCATGTTCTCCTGAGTTAAAGAATGCGTATGTGCGGGAGTGTGGTGTCACCATAGCAACGATGTCTCCTTGGATATGCCTTATGTACCTGTATAGTAATACATGTAGGTCACTGTTCAAAAACAACTCAGTGCTAAAAATGTTCACTTTTTCTAATTTTAACTGTTGTGGGTTATTTATTCTCTGATAGTGATTGTTGTGGATGATTTATTTTCTGATTTTGATTGTTGGATGATTTATACTCTGATCATGGTTGTTGTGGATGATTTACATGTATTTTATGACTTTCCATGGTTGTCTTCTTTTCGGTACATGTACGTCTGGGTCCTTACTAGCAAGTTTATAATTTTGGATGTACATGTGCCCTGGATAAGGAATTTTATGAATTGATTAAACTTGCAGCAATAGATCTGAGTATATTTGAGTGCTGATCATGGCAGGCTCTAGTGTACTACACAAGTACAAAATATCAGTGTTACTGGAAGAACACTGTGTACGTACAGTGCGTGGTACAACTTTGAATACAAAATATGTCGTTGGTTTCACTACGAAGTGACATACATGTATCTAGGATTTAAATTTGATCCTTAATTTACTTCTATATAAATTTTATGATTTTTTTCTTTAAATGTAAAACTGATTTTACAATTTTGAGATTTTGGTTAGGAAGTTGCATGTTCCAATCTGAAAAATCTTGTTTTGTGTCAAAGAGTTATACGTACTCAAATGTCTGTAGCCATTAGAAACAAACTCTGTTTCCTTTTATCAAACTTCAGAGGTCAATTTTGTGCATTTTTTATTAACAAACGTACTGCACAAGATTTTTTGCGCCATGAAGTGGAACTAATAGGCCTTTCCCGGGTATCCGCCCGTCGATATCAAAACCAAGTTTCATTTTTTCAGGCTGGGTACCCGTAAAAAGAAAGAAAAAATCCGCACATACTGTACAGTACGGTACATGTAAAATGTATGAATGTGAACTTAAGTATAATAGCAAAGGGAAGAATTTTGCTGAAATATCACTGTGCTACTCAAAAACCCAGTCCTACAGATTTAACTGCGGTTCAGAGACTAGACACAACTACTTTTTGTTACAAACTGAAGGTAACAATTTGGTTCAATAAAATGGTGGGGGAGATTCCCCTCTTGAATGTTCATACATTGGAAGAGCCCATGTTCATGTTCAGGCACATGGTCCGCTGGTTATGGGATATTTCACGCAATGCCGTTTGTTAGTGTTGTGTAGATTTTAAGGGTACCCAGTATTTTAAACATAGAATGGATACCTGGTTCCAAAAATACCTGTTAACACCTCTAGGAACGAATTTTCATTGCTAGGCATACAACCAGGAAGTTACTACAATGTTACTGCAATATTGTGCTGAACCCCCTGTGCAGTCTGCTTGCATGGTAGCATTGACAAAACTCTTCAGTACGTTAGCTGAATAATGTTTCTGTAAAGTCGGCATTCTGCCCAAGGTGAGTTCTTATAAGACTTACTTTGGTTTAAATTTGAAAACTTTGATGTTTGAACACATGAAACGGAGGAAATTATGTGTATATTTACCCAAGTACATGTATGTATAATTCTTAAGACAAAAAAAAGAATCGAAAGTTCCTAAGCAAGGATTGTTTTAATGCAGTTTGTATTATTCATTTGGATAAAAAAGTTGACTGATATATTTTATATTAAAACATTGCAGTTCTAAATTGTGACAGTGATCCTGCAAAAACCAGAAGAATGTGTCCTTGTAGGAAGTGGGGGCTAAATGTACAGGGTTGATATGTCTGTAATTGGCAAGGCAATTTTTTAATAAAGAGAACAACTCTTGAAAATCTACAAGTCTTGTCGTCTGATTGGATTAGTTTTCATTTGTTTTTGAACTGCTGGCTTCAAAGGAAAGGGTTTATATTTGATAAAAGATTGCTCAGTGGTTTGGGTTGTATAATTAGCCATGTATTTCTAGCTGGAGTACAGATTGTCTACAAGCACTGTCACAGCTATGAGTATTGTTCAAAGACTGGGTTGGTATGATTTTGTTAAGATCTAGAATGTAGGTCTTGAGATGATCACTGGAGAAGGAAAGATTATTTGGCTTGAGTTCAAATAGAAAAGGGTGTTTCATATTCTCTCAGTATCAACTGTGTATTGCTTGTGAATTACTCACGGTCCTACTGCAGGGAGTGTAACGGATCCTATAAATTCCTGCCTTTCCCTCAGTCTTGTGGACTCATTTCCAACCCATTTGCCCCTTGAATTGGTCATATTTGGGGTACATCTCTTTTGGTAGTGGGGAGGGGACTTCCTAACCGCAGCTTTACGTTGGAGGTACGATGAAGGGCTTTAATTTGCTAGTGGAAAGGTACCGGGAATATTTAGGTTTCAAATTGACACTGTCTGATTCAGACACTCTGTGAAAGATCTCACGTCTGCCCCTATGTACTCATCATTACTGAATTACAATAAATACGACTGACTTCCAAATTTAATTAAATCAAAACCCAAGTGTTCCTTCCTCCATGTTTTGTTCGACCGGATAAAACGGTTTACATGATACATGCAGCCTACAGGTACATATATGTAAGATCGAACACAATAATGCGAATAGTTTGACATAGCGCCCCCTTGTGGCTGTTACTGGAATTAGTCGGGTCCCCTTTTTCACTTGCTAGTTATATAGTAGTAGGCCTACTTGTGTCCAGTGTTATGAGGAGTGCTGATATGACATCGGCTTTGGAAGAAACGTGAAAACATCAGCTCGCGGGCCGGGATGGTAAGTGTTGAAACTTTATGAAAGAATACTTTAACTGTAAGATTATTCTAAAATTGAAGGGAATGGGATGAAATTTCACTCATTATCCGAGAAGAATAGGAAAAATGATAGAAAAATGCTTTTAACATGTTCAACTTAAAAACCTGTCGTGCCTGTTCAACATGTTCAAATCGAATTAAGTGTTCATAATGTGTTCATGGAGGGTGTTATGTTGTATAGTCCATTTAACTTGGACCCTAGCCCAGGTTGGACGACATCTACCAGTCCAGGGTATCCTCCTACTATGCGAAATTTTTTCAACAATTTTTTCTCACATTTTTACTTGACGAAGACAGCTAGCCATGCTAGCTTGCTCAAATGTCGTTCACAAGTGCAAGTCCCGAATTCCATGCTGTGATGAAATTACTAGGCCTAAATATGCCTGCGGACAATGTATTTTGCAGAAAATTCTGCGAAACTCCACGCTTTCCGTCGCGATTCGTGAATGATCTACGTTTGTGCGGTAGTACGCATTTGCGCATGCGTGAGATGGCCTCCAAGCTCGGCCCACATTCTGTAAATCTTGCAATGTCTAGAGCTAGCTAGGTCACTGTGTTCGCTCAAGCGTGGGCCGAGAATAATAGCTGAAAAGTGGGCTGAGGATCTAAATTTTACGGCGGCTTTTACCGTCATCCGTCGCGAAGGGGTTAAAAAACAATTCTACCGTTTACTTCTAGAATTGCAAGCAGAAGTCTGCAATGGGACAGACAGGGCAGGAAAAAGACTGCATCAGAACAATTTTTTTGAATATCAATCCTTAACATATAGTTAATCAAGTGACATGGCACAAAGTTCATGAAAAACAACTTAAATAAGTGAATATGAATAGAAAATATGGGAGAAAAAAATAACAATAGCATGTACATGTAGATATTTTTGACCCAAGCCCACTTTTAAAAAAGTCCCCTTTTAAGGAGACATTCTCTCTTTCGGGGGGCTGGTGTTTTCTCCAGATAAAGGGACTTCTCCGAATTTAGAGACAGCCTCTGAGTTGTGATGTACATCTCTACTGACAGTCATGCTCACACAAACTTTGGACGTTGCACAAATTTTGACCATAGAAACAAAAGAAGCTGCGCTTGGAAATGAAAACTTGCATGCTCAATCCTGGCCGCTGTAATTGGTCTCCGGGCAAGGTTAAGTTTAACCCTGTGTATTGGCCAAGTTAGCACTTGACGATCGAACTGTGTGCATTGATTGGTCCGTGCGCCATGGATTGGAATAAATGTATCTCACGGCATTGCAATCAACAGTTCACCTATCCGACTACAGGAATTTTTTCTGGTTTTGTGTATCTCAAATGCATAGCTACCGATACCTGCGAAAGGAAAAACACATGTAAAATTTCCATGCTGTCTTGGACTGCATCAAAAAGTACTGTGGCCATGGTCAACACACACATGCCATGACTACAGTTGCTAGCCAATTGCCTCACACATGTAGGTGCATTGCATGTATTCTCGTAAGCTGTAGCGACCCCAGCCGCCAGAACTTTAATATAGCATACTAAGAACATTAATCTTTGCCAATCTGTTCCCTCCCCCCAGCTCAGCCCCCTTCTAGTTCAGGTCCCTTTTACCCTGTCTGCTGCCCACATGTACTGTACTTTTCCCGATATTCTTTTATATTCTATTATACATGTACCACAGGGAACCCCAATCAAAGATGTGACGCTCAAGCCGGATGCTCCCAACACACTGTTACTGGACAAACACGTAGAGTACATTGCCAGCTATGGTTCCAAGAAAGATGACTATGTAAGACAAATTACTTTTTCCTCCATGCATGTTTGATCCCAGGAAATCAAGTGTCTGATACTTTTATGGCATGGACTATTGGAAACAACTGAGTGGGGTTTACAAGCAATAGAAAGAGCAAGAATGTACACTGGATGTTCCTGGACTCACTGGTACCAGAACTTTCTTATTTACATGTCAAAAAGGGCTTTCCTTCTAAATATGTAACTTCTGTGTACTTTGGGTGATATATAATCTTGTATTTGAGGTCTAAAATGCATTTCAGTGTACATGTACCTGGTACATTGTGCAATACATCTCCCCCAAATTAATTTATGTGCAACCTGGAGTCAGATTTTCAACTCCAAAATAACAGTGAATTTTTGACATAAACAGCTTCAGTTATTCTTATGGTGTGACAGTTGCCCCCTTTGTTGTATCTGACAGTGCAGTCCATGTGTCTTCACAGGAGTGGCTTATGCTGGGGTATCATTACTGTCTTGGCCTTGGTTAAGCAGCTTGATTTTTTGTGGCCCTTCAGAAAAAAAAAAAACTTTGATATCCTGACAGTGGGCAATGTTTCTTGCCAACCTCCTTTTGCCCCATCTATTCTAGGAGTATGTCATGACAGAATACCTGCGTATGAGTGGAATCTACTGGGGCATCACAGTCATGGACTTGATGAAGCACCTAGATGCCATGGCCCAGCAGGAGATTGTCGACTTTGTCATCAGCTGTCAGCATGAATGCGGAGGTTTTGGGGCCAGTGTCAACCACGACCCTCATTTGCTATACACGTTGAGTGCATTACAGGTAAGTCTCCCCCCCAAAAAAACCATCCAAAATAACAACAAAAAAACAAAGAAAACAAAAGTGGCTAAGTAAGACTCAGTTTAGAAACTGTCTATAGAGGGATCCCAATACGACGCTTTTAGCGTTGATCTGCGCACTTCCGCATTTGAAAACGAGGCTGTATGTGTCAGCTTCAATTCTTAATACGATCAGATGATTGAAAGTAAGGAGTTAAGACACAAAATACATAGAGGTATGTCAAATTCAGACTTTTCAGGCTGCAAATTTTTGTGGAAGAGTTTTTCAGGATGACTCGACATGTGAAATCAAAAGAAAATATAAGGACAATTGACCGCGAACTAACGTACCTGCGATAGTCGTGTATGTTGTGCAGTGGGCGTGGTTTAAACTGAAGTGGCGTCACACTTACGAACCAAATACTCCATGTACTGTGTGGACTCCGCGGGCGCACGCGATCAAGTTCAACACAGAGAGCCTCAGTTTCGATGCAGATATGCGCAGACGGTGCTAATGTGAAATCCCTCTATTGCTGAGCCGAACTTAATTGAAAGTAAGTGTCGTAGGAGAATGACAGTTGCTCTGTGTGTCAAACTTCAATTGTAGTCTCGATAGTCAAATGTACATGTGTGGTTGTGTATTGATACGTTTCTATTGGCCATTCTTTCCTCAATGATATTTAGCCACGTGCATTCAAGCATTGTACTTTGCAAGACAAGAGTGCGTCTTACCATTCCTCATACATATTTATAATCTAGAGCCAAATTCTCAACCAGTCCATCCACTGTCCTGTGTCAGTCGCTGTTTTTGCTGTTACAAGATGCAGGTGCAAGGATCTATATAAAAAGTCAAACACACATGAGTTATTAACAGTTCTAAGGACAGTCACTATGCATGTGCTTTGTGAACTGTCGCCTACATGTAGGTAGCAAATGCTTGCTGGAACATTGCCTTGTTCACATATATAAAAGATGGTGGTACACATATACAGTGTACCGATGAACATTTTAACCCCTTGACGATGGGAATTTCTTTCCGAAAGCCGACTCCAAGAATTCCAGCCTTGCTTTGCCACGAAGGCCACCTGCCAAACCGCAAATTCTCGGTTTGTGGCCCTGCGTGCTCTGCATGCTTTGAATTACACGGTGAAAAGGCTGATTGTTCGGTGGCTTGCAGCTCTACTTAAGCTTCCACATACCCGTTGCCTCTTTTCAAAGTGGGGACTATTGTGAAGCTGGTCATTATGATGCAAATTCGGTGTTTTCATTTCTGGGCTACACTTAAAGACCTATTACCAAATATACAAGAGCCAGGGTCTCTCTTCGTTCACCGTGTTTGCTCGAGCGTGGGCCGAGAATAATAGCTGAAAAGCGGGCTGAGGATCTCAATTTTTACGGCGTGTCTAACCGCCTCCCGGCGGGAAGGGGTTAAGGGATGCCTGAAATTGTAATAGCAAACAAACATGTATGAGTTACAGTTGAAACCAAGGGTTTATTTTGAATTTGGTTTATGTTAGCTCCGTTTGGTATTGGAAGTTTACAAATTACATGTATATGTATGTACATGTAGGTTGTAAAGCCTAGTTTGTCAATTTCCTATATCTTACGAAGCTACAATGTGAAATGATGAACTGTCCACCGTTAAATCAGGTTACATGCATTTGCTGTACCACCGCTGTCGAGAATGGTTATTGTACGATAGATCCTGTGTAGCCAAAGATGCTTCCATGCTGAACTCAATTTGCCAAGCGAAATGATTCCAGAAGCACTGATAATGCCGTACATAATTTTGTAAAGTTTCAATCATCTCAGTTTGATATGGCAGTGGCATGGTGTCTAGACCGGGTCTTACTGACTGTAGCAGATATCCATAACTTAACTCTTAATTTCTCTTTCCCTTGTTTCTCAGATTTTAATCATCTTTGATTCTGTGGATGTCATCAATGTTGACAAAGTAGTAGAATATGTCAAAGGACTAGAGCAAGATGATGGTTCATTCATCGGTGACAAGTGGGGTAAGTGTTGCACCCACTAAATGGAAGGTTTACATTTGGCAGTGACGTCTCAGCCAGACCAGGGTTAATTTATTGGTAGAGGAACAGGAAATGAGATTCAAAACTTTTTGGGGGGCGAAGAAAGTGTTCAGTGGCCTCAGTTTTGCCCACAAGTTGTTGGCAGAACCGCGGCTTGCCATCAGACAGACAAAAGAATAATGGGCAAGTCTCATGCAGCTTTTGTACCTGCCACCCATTCCAATTTTGGCAGAGGGATTACAATATTTCAATGTTGATACCAAATTAAGAATTTTAGTCAAAAATTATGGTTTTTCAAACTTTTCTTTATTAATAATATTCAAAACAGCTGGAGCAGAGGTTAAACTGCTCATGCGTGCGATGCAATGGAAAAAGTAGTCTGGTTCCCCGACTAATAAATGGCAGCACACAGGGCCATTTGACAGGTATCGATCTAGATACCCTGGTATTCATAGTGCAGCACACAAAGATGTAAAGCTACATGTACATGTAAGTGCCAGTCAAAAAATACACTGCCTTTACAACGGACGGGTGGACAGGTCACTGGATGAAAGGCCGCTGCCCTCAAAGTAAATTTGGTATTGGTTGATCGGCATCTGTCTAATGTGAGACTAGGCACATTGAGGATTAAAGTGGCCTTGTACTCTTGAATTTCCAACTTGACACCTGACTGCTGTGAAATATACATTTATGAAAACTTATGCTTTGCTTAATTTGAATTGGAAGAATATAGATGGAACATAGATGTGGTATCATGTTGGAAATTGAAAAGCATAAAATTGGCAGTAACTAGGAGTGATTTTCTTTGTACAGTAAAATTATTTTGTGATCCTATTTTGGTCATAAGTTCTATGCAAAAAGCTACAAAATAGGCTCAGATTGCACCAGAGAGCATCTAGAACCCCAGAACTTCCTGCTTGGACTTGGCACTGCACGCTAATGTGCGCTTTGCTGACATAAAAATAGTGTGGCTTTTTCCTTTAGGTCACTCTGAAGTTTAGCTGTCCTGTGTTCATGTTGACAGATATGCTTTCAAAACACTAAAGCCACGTCAACATAAAGAGCAAAGGATGGTGGTTTACAAGGAAGAATTCAAAATTTGGTTCTTTAATTGAGTCTGTCACAAGTAAGTCACAAGTGACAATGAACGGTGACAGAGGAATGTCTATTGAGCAGTGATGGGCTTGTAAAGAAGTTGTGCTGGATGTGGGGGAGGGAGGTCAGGAAGTTTAAACAGCCCCCTTCCCTGTCAAGAGGTCCACTCCATTGTGACAGAACCACTGATCATCCAACTGCTTGAGGCAGTTGTAATTCATGTCATGTGATGCAAATTTTGCTGGCACACCAGTCGAACTCCCCAGGCCATGAAGCTGGCTTCACCCTTGACTGGACTGTAACACGGCTGCCAAGTGTCCTGAATTCTTTGGCCTTTTTTAATAATTCAGTGTACTTATTTCGGTTATGTGAAAATACATGTGTTTTTTTTCTTTTCTTGCAGGGGAAGTTGATACTAGATTTTCATTTTGTGCAGTTGCGTGCTTGGCATTACTGGTGAGAAATCTTTCTCTTCATAACTTTGTACAACTCAGAATGGTTGGAGTGAAGGGATTTTTGCAAAAGTAATGCTCTTGAGGTTTCGGTTGATTTTCAGAACCTCCTTGTACTTGGTTTCAGAAGACAGCCAAATTCAGCTAAAACCAACATGAATTTGGTGTTTTGTTCTGGAACATTGCCTACAAACTTTGATTATCAATTGACCAAAACTGACAACCAGTGTTGACGTTGTGACTCCCGTTAATATCATTTTTGCAACCTGAAGATGTTAGTGTGTTGAAGTAATTAGATGACCAGCCATCACTATAGATGCATGGTTGGGAGTGTAGCTGCCAATCTTAAGTCACTTCTGCTCAATGGCTCCAGCCAAATACAGTGGAACGTCGCTGTAATGAACAAGACGGGGTCCACGCTAAATGTTCGGTACAGCGGTCGTTCAGTATAGCGAATTTTATTGCCGAATGTTTCGTTGCCATGTTGAATAGCGCCCTCTCTTGTCTAACCGAAGTGCACCCTCTTGTGATACCTTGGCTAGCTGTTTTTGTGATGTTTTGCCGTTGCATTCAAGTTTAAGGTTTATTTTATAGAAATGTATCTGTTAATTTTTTTTTTTAATTTAAACTTGAGTCAAAAAATTGATATCAAGTTTATCCTAAAATTCGTGAAACTACTGCTCAGGATCGATCTCTGATGCATGCTGTGACGAATTTCGGTTGATTTGTGTATCAGCGGTGCCCTCTTTAGATTATTGTTAGTGCAATGCCACCGGGCGCGTACGTGCGGTTTTCTTCCGCACCCAATCATGTGGAGTCGCAAAACCAGTGTCTATTCAATACCATTGACAACTACTGGCTTTCCCTTCTAATCCTTGGGGAAATAATGGCCACTTGTCACTTTTCAACATAAAAAAACCACCCACTGTTTTATCATGTTGACATTTGGGAATAATAAACGGCAACTGAATAGTGTTCGGTAGGATCTGTGCACAAATTATTGGGAAGCCAAGGACGCTGTTCAGTACAGCGGAGTTTGGTATAGCGACATTCCACTGTAGACATTCAGTCCTCCCCATAATGTCTCCAGGGAGTTGGATACTGTAACTTTCATGATGTGTTTGACCACTGACCAATGAAAGATGTGCGTTAGGCCCATAATTCGTCATGAGGTGTAATGACTAGAAGCATTAACCCCTTTGCAATTTCTGTTTGACATACCTGTACATAGGGCAGACTGGATGCTATCAATGTACAGAAGGCAGTGGAGTACGTCCTATCCTGTATGAACTTTGATGGTGGCTTTGGCTGTCGGCCTGGCTCCGAATCACACTCAGGACAGGTGAATTGCCAGGGACCAAACTAAATGGCCTCATGAAAATGACCTTCAACAGCTTAAAGGATCCAGGAAATGAATTTTTCTAAGAATTATTTTTTGTGTACCTCTGTACTCTTCTTCCATGTATGAAGACTGTTTGACATCTTTTTTGAGTTACGTGAACTGAACGGTGCCCTTTTTCAAACATAAAAAATTGACCAAGCATTTCTGGACAAGTGAGGGCGCTTTTGCTTTGATGTAAATCCAGGAAGACATGGCTCAGGTTCCATGTTTTCATATTCAAAGTGTGAACCCCAAATTTGCTATCTGCAAACATTTCTGTGAAAAGGATTTTTGCTGGATTATTGCCATATACTTACACAGCAATAAAATGCCAAAGAAAATGAAATCTGCCATAGCAGTGGTTAAAAAAATTTAGAAATTTTCTGTGCACAAATCAGTGCAACATTGAGATTCAGTGCCTTGGGTGACATCATAGTTCTGCTCATGAATATGCAAATTTCATTAGCATAAAAACAAAAAAAACATCAAAATATGGGTTAAAATTGTGAAACAAAACAAAAAATCAGAATAATTCAAACCCAAAGATGCAATTTCAAGGATTTTTAGTAAAATGTATGAAAATACTTCTATTTCCTGGTTCCTTTAAATATTTTCTCTTATTGAGAATTTCTCTGACAAGCTGTGTATCATCAAATTATTTTGCTGCTTGGCGAGCATCAAGTCAAATGGACAATATCAGGGACCCATGTAACAAATTAAGGTAATTCCTCATATCTTCATGTGTTTCATAAACCTTGAAACCTTGTCTCTGTGTTCATAAAACTTTTCATATTCATTAGTTAAACAGTGATTTTTCTTGTAAGAATGTTATTGTTTGGGGATTCAGTACAAGACAGTCTGTGAGCAAACTTGTACAGAAACCTTTCAGCAGTAAAGTGGTACCAAGAGTGATGTCGGAGCAACAGTAATCCCAGTTGTCAGGGGTAACAGGAAAATCCTTTGTGCCGAAAAGCCATGTTTTTAAAAGTGTGAATGGAAAATGGGTATCTCATGTTCTTTTTTTTTGTAGAGAGAAATTGGTGCTTATAAATTGAGCATTCCCGTCATGGAACCCTCAACTTTTGGAGGAAACGTGAAGATTGGAGAACATTCTGCAACTTATCATTTTCACAGCTATAATGTCTAGTTTTTCCTTCCTTTGTGCAGGTGTATTGCTGTGTTGGGATGCTGGCAATCACTGATAGTCTACATCATGTCAATGCAGACCAGCTAGGCTGGTGGCTTTGTGAGAGACAACTCCCATCTGGTGGACTCAATGGTATGCTCAGCCCATACAAAGCGTGTGGCTGGGTCCTTGAAAAGTAAACCAAAAGTGAATCCCCGATGTTGGAGTTTGGGTGATTGAATACATTGGAACCTCCGTTACTGTCGATAAAAACATAAAAAGATCACACACCAAAAAAAGCAAGTATAATACAAGGAGAAAATCTATTGGGGACTACTCAGTACCAAATCTTGTTTGTCCGTTACATGATATGTGAATCATTCTTATTTAATATGGATGTGTTTTGTCATTTGTACTGTCCAAATTAATTTTTGTTTCCGTTAAAGGTATTTTTAAAAATACATTCATAGTCTTTTTGTAATTTGAATGTGTAGATCCTGTGTGAATACTGTCGTTGAAGTAATGATGTCTTAACATTCCTTTATATGGTTATTTTGAGTATATGAACATTATATGTATATTGTATGGAATATCTTCCGAACAATTAATTCTTGATCCCAGTTATATTGACACTTTTCTCATGTGAAATTCGTGTATTAACCACTTGCTGCCGGGTAACCTCATTTTGAGCACCATGGGTTTATACGTGGAGCCGGGGTGCCCGAAATGGCACAAAAGACCTGGTCTGTGTAACAAAAGACCGTACTTGAAACAAAAGACCTGCTGCTGGGAATTGCCATCATTTTTCGGCTTGCATTTTTTGAAGGTAATCCGTCACTGTTTTTAAACAGTATACCACTGTTTTGGGTGTAGCGCACCCGCGCATTAGCATCGCGGACAAAAGTGCTTCGGGGCCCTATTGATGAGCGACACAGCACCGCTGCATGCTAATCCAGCCGCGTTTGAAAAGACGCCGCTTGCATTCACTGAGGACAAAGGAAATCATGTAACACCTCACAATTCTGGGCTCTCTTCACAGGGCAGCAGGTCTGGCTGAAATACTCAGGAGTCAATGAAGGTTGCCTGTCAGCTTAAAGTAGCCACCAAACAGTCATTTGTGTGGATGTAAACATCCATTAAATGAAATGATGAATTTTGAAGAATTTTGAAAACTGAAAATCTCCTGTATGTGTGCACTGCATTTTTAAAAGCACCCGGCAGCAAGGGGTTAAGAACACAAAAACCCTTCTAAAGCCAGACCAATGTGATGTGATTAGAACAGGTGTATGAGTCAATTATAGACAATTATGGATATGATTGCCCCAGGGAGACCAGAGAAGTTGCCAGATGTCTGCTACTCTTGGTGGGTGCTAGCCTCCCTCAAGATCATTGGCAGGCTGCATTGGATTGACAAACGCAAGCTAGAAGCCTTCATCTTGGCTTGTCAAGACGACGAGAC